GTCCTGGGTTCGATTCCAGCCAAGGGCATGTACCTCGGTTGTAGGCTCGGCCCCAGATGGGGCGCGTGTGGGAGGCAACCAATCGATGTTTCTCTCCCTTCCACTCTCTGAAAAGCAATGGAAAAAATATCCTCTGGTGAGGATTAAAAATAGATGTGTTTTTTGATTTTTTAGAGAGAGAGGAAGGAAGAGGGATAGAGAGAGAGAAACATTATCAATCAGTTGTGTCTTGCACACCCCCTACTGGGGATCGAGCCCACAACCCCAGCATGTGCCCTGACTGGGAATCGAACCGGTGACCGGTGACCAGTGACCAGCAACCTCTTGGTTCCTGGGTGGATGCTCAATCACTGAGCCACACCAGCCAGGCAAGCCCAGAATTCTTATTGGAGAAGAGCAGTCTCTCTTTTTCACTGAAGGGAGAACTGGGAGACTATTAGCCTGATATTCCCAAGGGCAACCGTGTTGAATGAGCCAGCCTATGAAGCCAGCATAGAAGCAGAGATGGAGAAACACCAGGTCCCAATTTGTGAAGTAATGACATCCCTTGGACGTTTTTAGTTCTATGAGCTAATGTATTCCTTTCACTAACTGCTTAAGCCAGTATAAGTAATTTTCCTGTACTTGCAACTATATATATCATACTCAATAAAATCTGTGTTCATCCTATAACCCCAATAACCACAGCACTTAGCATGGTAGCTTACACACAGAAGATTCTTAGTATTTTTCCAAATGAGCTGAATGAAAACTTAGGGTGAAAATATCTTACATAGGTTTTATTACTTTTGAAAATGTCAGTAAAATAATTGCCACAATTCATCTTCACTAAAAAAAAATAGGAAAAGTTGACTTTCCAGGCTTAAATCTATTCTGAAAAGAAGCCCTCCATTTATAGTAGTTATTATAAATCTTTGGAGTTTTAGTGAATTTCATATTATATTATATAAAAGTCTTGGCATTTCCTTCCAAATTAAGCTAACTCTATGATAACCGCTAACTGTTATGTGGCAACACGAATTGTTTTGTACTTTTGATCATTACAAAAGGGAAGTGAACTACCTTGAGAGAACATCTGGCTCTGGGTCATATCTTTGAAAATTTAATTGGCTCTTTTTCAACATAAAAATAAGATAGCTGCTCAACAACAGGGCCAAAGGTTCCTAACAAATGTCATACCAGCTGAGAATGAATTTTCTTTTAAATAATTAAATTCTCCATTCTTCAGAAATGAAGGAAATCCCATCATACAAGTGAAAGAGCAGAGCAGAGCTGGGGTGGGGGTATGGTGGTGAGAATAAAGAACATGGTTTCAGTATGAATTCATTATCATATTTTAAGTTTTTTCAAGCTGCTGGAATGGATCTGTAAAGATCAAGTCATACTTCCACCCAACCCTTTCTACACCAAACACTGAATTTCCATGACCTTTGGCCATAGCTATTAAAAAAATTTAGAGTTACATGTGACTCATTATATTTCTATTGCACAGTGCTAATCCAAAATATAATAATGCTGCCCGGCTGAGCGTGGCTCAGCAAGTAAGCACCGACCGAGGATCCAGGACATCGTGGTTCGATTCCCGGTCAGGGCACATGTCCAGGTTGCGGCCCCGATCCCCAGTCGGGGGCGTGCAGGAGGCAGCAGATCAATGATGATTCTCTCATCATTGATGTTTCTCTCTCTCTCTCCCTCTCCCTTCCTCTCTCTGAAATCAATAAAGATATATTTTTTTAAAAAAAGTAAACAATTAGGTTTTTTTAAGGTATAACTAAGGGTAAAAAAAAATTTAAGGGCTAGGAGACAAGAAAGAGCTCTTTGGTCATGTTGTTTAAGTAATTCCCTAATTAGTCACCTGTAGAAATCTCCTGAAGAGAGGAAAAATTACAATCTAAAATCGTGAAAAGATCAAGTAAAAGGAGACAATAGTTTTTAAACTCTTGGTTTTAAACTGTGTGTATAAAATGAATAAAATACACTTCCCAAGTCTAAACATTAACTTATGTTATCTTATAAACAATACCATTAAACATTTATTTCTGCTACCGAGGAATTTACAAAATATATCTTACTGACCATGATGTTATTGCCAAGGTTATTTTCTATTTTAAAGATCTGATGAACAAATACTTCCTTAAACTCTAAAAATTTAAAAAGTAAAGAGAGAAAAATAAAGCTAAGAGAGACATTTGTTTTTGCTTTGCACACTGCTGCGGAGACTGTACAAGGAGAAGAAAGAAAGGTAGGAAGTGAGCTTAAACAGGAGGATTATTTCAGGATAAAGAAAGTTCCCCAGGACGAAGACAATTTCCTCTGTATTTTAGTAGAGCAAATCTATCTAGGCCAAGAGAAAAAACACAAATGCCAGTAAGAATTCCATAAAACATCAACAACGAGGAAGAGAAACCAAATGTAGGTTGCCAGAAGGTACAGTAAAAACACCCAGCAGTATAATAATGTTGGGCAAAACACACAGGCGTGTTTGTTTTGGGAGCTCGGAGTCAAGCATGTGGGTGGACCCAATTAGAAATACCAAAAGGCTGCACAGCACAGATTCTCATGTTCTGGCACCCTTCCCACCCTCCCTACCCCATCCCAGACCATATCCCAGGAAAGATGACTTTAACTTTAGACGAAAACCTTCAATTAGAATGTGATACCCCTTGCCCAGTGCACTATGGATCCACTTCTACCTTATGCCTAACAGCCTGTCTGTTGAAGGATGACTAGATGGCTCCATGTACCCCTGAGGCCAGGTCCTGTGGACTAGGATGGAAGTAGGCAGGATGAATGCGTTTCAGATATGGAGGTGACACAGATGAGGTACCCAGTGTCCCAGAATCCCAAACCTGTAATAAAACGAGTGGCACAAGCTCAGCTTCCTTCCCAGCTGGGACACCTTGAACTCTGCTTCTAACCCCTCACCTGTCTCCCGCCTCACATTCTATTCCGATATTTTGCAATCATGAGGCCATTTTTCAGCAGAGGGGCCCTGGCTCCACTGTTTTAGCCTCAAAAGGAAATGCAGATGGGCAAAACGCCCAAGGATGGCAGGGAGTCTAATAATAATTAAACAAGAACTAAGACCTAATGAGCTCTTTTATGTTCATTATCTATGGACTGTATCTTTCAGTCACTACAGGCAAGTTAGAAGGCTGGTATTATGTTCCCATACAGAAAACGTAATTTATCCCAAATCATACAGAAAGGGGCTCAGCTCAAACCCAAGCAGTCTGGCTCAAGGATCCATAGGTTCACCTATTAATAAATCATGAACAGATGCTAGAGTTAGGAAAATATTTACTTGCCCAGGACTTCAGTAACAACCTCATTCATTCTCATTTTGACATGATGCAGCTTGAAGCTGCTTCCCTAGGAGGACACGACCAAAAAAATTACTGCCTTGTACCCACATCCTTCTCTCTTCCTCTCTAGCAAAAATACACCCAAAAGACAGTGTTTTCTATGTGTCTAAGTTACTTTCAGACATGATAATTTATTTCTATTAGGAAAAAAAAATTAAAATTGCTAAAGGAAAAAAAAAAGAACAATGCCATTATTTTGACAAATTCTATTTTCTAAATAAAATATAATTCTATTAATATTCTGGTTTTGTTTAGGGAAAATAAATCTACTTTTAATGCCTTTAAAAGCCTTTAAAAATATCTTAACAGGATGCCCTGGCTGGTGTGCTCAGTTGGTTGGAACATCATCGCATGTACTACAAAGGATACCAGGTTAGATTCCCAGGCAGGGCACATACCCTGGGGGCAGGCTCGATCCCCGGGCGGGGCACATTTGGGAGGCAACAGATCGATGTCTCTCTCTCTCACATCCATCTTTCTCTATCTCCCTTTCTCTTCCTCTCTCTCTAATATATATATTTTAACAGGACATTTCTGATTTAAGATGTCAAAATAAAAATGACTCTAATCCTTCTCTTAGAAACCACCTCACAAGGAGCATGAAAACAAACACAAAAGCCATCTTTCAAGGGTGTCCAAACCACAGCACAGAAGACAGAAAATGGATGAGTGACAACTGGCTTCACAGAACAGACCACAAAAATAGACAACCTTCCAGTAAGTCTACCAACCCTCACAGCAGATAACTATCATTACTAAGTACCACCACAAAAGGCTGCTCAGGGCACAGTAGGAGCAAGTGGGAGGTGGGGAGGAAAGAGGGAACAGGGGTCAGGAAAGCTTCTCAGAGAAAAAAAAACAAATCCAAGAATCCAGATGAGACCATTCCTATAGTGATGTGTCCCTATAATGAAACCAATTCCACCAAACACACAACTGCCTTGTCTGCTCCTAAGGAAATCCTGTTAAATAAAGAATCAGTACTAACCATGACTAACTTGCATTACAGGAAAATATCTGCAAGAAATTGTTTTCTAGCCTGGCCAGCATGGCTCAGTGATTGAGCATCAACCTATGATCCAGGAGATCGCAGTTTGATTCCCAGTCAGTGCACATGCCCGGGTTGCAGGCTCGACCCCCAGTAGGGAGTATGCAGGAGGCAGCCAATCAATGACTCTCATCATTGATGTGTTTCTTTCTCTCTCTCTCTCTCTCTCTCTCCCCTCCCTCCTCCCCCCCCTTTCTGAAATCAATAGACCTATTTAAAAAAAAAAAAAATTGTTTTCTAGAAGAAAAACAGTCCCAAGTTTTTCACTTGTGACATTGGCAGATCACTAGAGCTGACATTCTGATTGGGTTCTGCCCTGTGGCCAGGACAGAGTCACAACCTCCATCAGTTCTTCACTGGAGCTCGCAGGCGTGTGGCGGAAGGCGCAAAGATCCAGTAACCAAGCCACAGGCACTGTGTCTGCCCTAACACTTTCCCACCAAAATGTTGAAGACAGAATTCACTTTGCAAAGTTTCACTTGGCAGCAAATCAAAGAAACTAAAGAAGCCAAGTAAGTTTAGAGCCGGTGAGGGGCTCAAAAATACCTCCAGAAGTGACCAAACAGTGAAAGGAAAGCCCAGCTCACCTCGCTATTGTGGCCTCGCAGGTTAAAGTTGATTCTCTGTGGAGTATTCCTGTCCCGGCGGCAGTGGCTCGAGGTAAAGGTCACACCCACGACGCCCCGGCCGTTGCCCGTGGCCAGCCAGCCCTCCTCATAGTAGCGCCTCCTGCACACAGGCTTCTCCTTCTCGCTCTTGGGGACGCGTCCCTTCCAGGACAGGCAGAGGATGTTGGAGTCGCTGCAAAGGACGGGCCCTTGTTCCACCGCTGCATACATACTTTTTTTCAGTGAACTATTTTACTTAAAAAGTAATGTTGAATGCCAAAAAATTTAAACCAACTCCTCTCATTGATTTATTCTATTTTTGTGGTTGGCTTGCATTGCGTTCCCCAACCCCCTTTAGTTAAGATTGACCTAGACCTAATTAGGTCAGTATTTTATAAAGATCCACCAAATGCATAGTGAAAAAATTCCTCTATAAAAGATGATGGCAGTCTGCTAAGAAAAGGTAATGCTTAAAAAAATGTGGGGTCCATTTTTATTTTCAAGTCCTTAGAGGAAGAGTGGGCTGACCCTTTGGAGAAAGAGCGTCATTAATACGCGGTATCAAGAAACTGAGTTTTCTTCTTTTTACTGAGCTTGGTTATTCTGATTCAGCCTGAGATTCCAGTTTAGTGTAATATGATTCCAGAGACCAAGGGTTGCAAAGACATAGATTTCAAGTAACTTAAGGCTTTAAGAATCCCTCGAGCTGGAATTTTCTCTTCAAAAGTTCAGACGCAGAGACAGAGCACAGGGGATCATCCTCTTTCTGAAGCCACCCTCTGGCATGTTTTCTCAACTAGACAAATTTCTGCTGCTAAAGCTGAAAAGATTGCATAAAGGGAAAAAAGGCACACGCACCGTACAGAACAACCAGAGTTTGTGCACTCAGCAGTCCAAGTTTAGGAAGAAGACTCTTTGCTGCTGTTCAGAACCCAAAACATCCCACCTCAGAAACCAGCCCAGTTTTCTGGCAGGTCACTGTGTTCCCAGGGAAAGCTGGGCTCTATCTGACTGCCCCTCCACAGGCCCACACAGCCCTTGGTGCCATAGAGATATCGAGAGAGAGCCCCCTTCACTCCACCAAGCCAGAACGTTGTAAAGCCCTGAAAACAGTCCAAGTGTTTGCCTCAGATGAATCCTAAATCCTCTTTCTGACAAAACGAAGCCTGGCTGCAGATTTCGTCTCTTTTGCCTGCCTCCTTCCTCTCTCCCCTAGTCTAACTTCTCCCCTTTCTGCTCCTAAAAATCACATATTTTTTCATCTTGAAGAAAAAAAATTAATCTCAGGTTTAAGTCCATCAAGTAATCCTCCTCTTATCTGTGCAATCTTCTTGAATTCAACAGAAAAGAGAATACCTTAAAACAAAAACACAGGCAAGGGTCAGGTTCTTCCCCACTGTTTCCCTAAAGAGTTACCACATTTTGCTGATGGGCTCTTTTTTGTTCACATTCAGAGAATGTTTCCAAATGCCACATGTACAGTCCAAGGAAAAGAAGCTTTGATTGGGTGGTCCTTGATATTTACTTTGTAATTATCGGTTTCAAATGCTACCTAAGATATTATCCTATAGAAACAGAAAAGGGAAATAATAAATTAAAATTTCTCGAGTACAGTCAACTGAAAAAGGCAAAGGAACCAGTTCATTGTTCAAACTTGTCCCATCAAACCTGAACTGGCTTTCCTCCAGCCACAATCTCACAGTAAGAGATACTTGTCAGTCCAGAATCTTACAGTCTGTCCAAATCACCAAATCCACTGAAAAATAAAGTGCAAAAACCACTATCTGATCCCACTTGCAATGCTTGAAATCACACTTGTCCCACAGTCACTGTCTCACTTAGCTCCTTTATACTGGAGAGGTATTTTTGAAGCTTGATCTGTGCCAGTTTTTTCTTCTTCTTTTTGCAAACTTTCTTTACCCGTGAAGACCATATGGAAAATTGGCCATTAGTGATGTATTTTTCTCCCCGGGCTCCTGAGCCCCGTGGTGTCAAGTTGCTCCATCTGATACTTAAATTAATTTTCATCAGTTGGAAAATGCTTCAAGTGTGCACCAGAATGAGCCTGTCTTCTCATGTGTGTGCACAGAAAGGTTTTAAATACACACAGACATACACTCTTCAGCTGGCTGGCAAGTGTCTGCTTTCCCAGTCATTTCAGGAACCATCTGATTAATCACAGCTTGAAGGCCCTGGAGTCTTACAAATCTGTAAAACAAAATAGGATATTAAAAAAAAACTTTAAAATGCTGAATAAAGCTTCTAACCGAGTAATCGCTGTAACTGAAATTGGAGACCCATCTTTACACTGACATATACCAAATGGAGCTAGTAATTGGTAAAATTCAAGCAGCAAAGAGGAGCACCTCCATCAACTTGGAGACAACGTACAACATGAGTCTGAATGCCGTTACTGTTTATTAAATTTGCCAGAAGCTGGGCATATCTGAATGAAATTACTGCCTGTCTCCCACACCTGGCCGTCCTAAGACTCAGCCCTGAATGTGCAACCTGAACCCTCCAGAAGACATCATCCTGGTTACGCAGGCGATATCCAAAAGGAGACTGAAGAGGGCCAGGCAAGTTATGTGCACTGGTCTTCTCACTACAAGTAAAAGATGTTCCTGAAGACACAAGGCAGCAAGGGCGTTTAAAACCCCTCCACCCCTGATTGGGGGCAGGTCACAGAGTAAAGCGCAGCTTTGAAACTGTCTAATGACAATAAAGTCCTACGAAATCTATCTCCAGCAAATCCATTCTCTTCTTCCTACTGCCTTCAGTCCCGAACTACATCCTACCCAAGAAAACACCGACGATTCAGTCCCTAACTCCTCCACACCATCCCACCTTCCAGGGGGTCCTCAGAGTGACCTTCACAAAAATCAAGGCTGCTCAACGAGCCTCAACTCTTCTTTTGCTGGTCTGGGCAGTTCCCTAGAGGGCCAGTGAAACAGACAGCCTAGCCTCAGCCAAAATACCTGACCCTAAAAAAGTCTAGGGCTGGGTCCAGGTATTTGTATTTCTAACAAGTTCCCAAGAGATGCTAGTGCAGCTGGTCTGGGGAGCAGGCTTTGAGAACCACTGATCAATGGGATCAAGTCCCAACAAGACCCTTTATGATCTGATTTCAGCTTGTCCTCTTCGCCTGACACAGCCTCCACGTCCATCACATTGGGCCATTCCCCAAAGTACGGTGTTCTTCCTCTCCTTCATGTCTCCCCTCCTGCTGCTCCCTTGACAGGCCAGGTCTCAACATTTCCTTTAAAACCCACCTACAATAGCACCGTTCCTGCACTGCTCCTCAGGGCACCTTGCACTAACGTCTGTGCCAGCTTCTTCACACTGCATCCCAACACTCGCTTTATGCTCCCAGAGGCAGGGAACCTATCTTTCTCATCCCTGCAGTAAACCTCAGCATAAATTGGGTACTCAACAAAAGTAGTAGGAGGCAGGCAGGGGCAAGGCAGCAGCTACACATAATTCCTTGAGATATCCTAATACAGATGAGTCACAGTATATATATTTTGTATGTGACAATAAATCAAAACAACCAAAATCTCTCAGGAAGCACTTACACCTGAGAAAAAAAGTGAAAGCAAATGCTATAAAATTCAAATTAATGCCATGCTCATCCTCCTAAAATACTAATGTCACTGAATACTACTACCATAGTCCCTATTCTGGCTTGGGGGCAGCATCATAGATGGGAAAAGCAAAAGCAACTTCTCAAGACCCAGCAATATACATGTATGGGTTTTAAACTACTTAAGAGCATAATTCATGATTATTAAAGCATCTATATTAAATACAGCAATGTAAATTATCAGTCCCCCCACCAAAACCGCCCCCAGGGGGACCATAAAGTCAAAATTATTTTCATAATAATACTAGGACATTATGTGTCTTCTTCACTGTGTTGACAATTTGTATCAATGGTGCAAAAGGGATAGTGGGTCAAATTGCCAGCTCTTTAATACCAATCAAGGCATTGGTACACAACTGTACCAGTACTCATCGGAATTTTTTGAAATGCCAGCTTCACTTAAGGATGTTCTTGATGCAGCAATAAAATTGTCAATTTTATTAAATCTCAACCACTGAGTACATGGCTGTTTAATATTCCGTGTTTCAAAATAACAACTACATAGAAAGCATTTCTGCTGACTACTAAAGTACAATGGTACCCCTGAGAAAAAGCACTTATGCTACAGTTTGTTTTATCTGATTCCTACTTCCCACCAACATGAATAAAATTCACCACTGGGGTGAATGAAAGTGCACTTTTGGTTTTTTAAAAAATCATTTGAATTAATGTTAGAGACCAGAGATAAATTAGGGAAGGTATTTTTCATGTACAAAATTTTGATAGAAATATTTGTTAAAATTTATAAGAATGCAACTGCTCTGAAAAAGTTTGGTTCATTAGCTAGTCAATGAAGATGTGAACACTGCAAACAGCAATGCTGCTCCTGATAGTCTTCGCAAGTGCTCCAGGGCACAGACGCAGGCATTTGTAACAGCAGCAGCGTTTATACTAGCCAAAACCAGAAAACAACCTGAACGAATGAAGTTGGTACAGTATATTCAAACAGCAGAATTCTATACAGCAATGAAAATGAACAAACTACACAGAATAACATGAGTGAACTTCCCAAGCATAATGCTGATCAAAAGGGATCTTATGATAAAAAACCACCTACAATATTAATTCATTTACATAAAGTTCAAAACAGGCAAAACTAATTTTATCAGTTAAAAATGCATACACAGACAGTATAAATAAAAATTTAAAAACAAGAAAAACATAAAGCAGTGTAGTGGTTCCCTGGGGGTGGAGACTGTGAATGGAGAGGGGCACACACAGGAGTGTTGCTCAGTGCTCACAATATTCCATGTCTTGATCTGGGTGGTAGTTTTGAGTGTTCACTCTTATAATTATTCTTTACTTCCTATATATCTAACATATTCTTCTACATGTATGATGTATCTCACAGTAAATAGGTTTAACAAGCTGTCAGCTGTTAGGCCAGTGTCCTTTGAGATTTTTAGGAAAATTAAAAAAATCAATTATTAAGAAAGAATTTTTAAAATTATTATATACAACCTTAATGAATACTGTCCCAACCTAGAAAATCCCAATAAAGTAACAAAGATGTCATTTTACTTCTCAAACTAAGCAGGTATCCACAAAGAAAATGCATATTAATGGTAATAAATGGAGATAAGAGAAAATTTTAGAATATGGTTCTATCTGAAGTAAAAAGTAGATTTGAAGAAAAAATAAACAGATGCTAGATGAATGCAAAGCAGGAAGAAAAACACAGTAGAAACTTTTGAATAAAGTATTCCAAACATCCTAGAGTTTAAGCTTTTGATTACAGGCTTGTCTGGGGGTTGGAGAGAAGGAAAAGGAAAGTAAAATTTCCTGGTTGGTGACGTGCATTAAACACATCCGGGCCCTGGCCCGTTTGCTCAGTGGTTAGAGCACCAGCCCTTGGACAGGAGGACTGTGGGTTCGATTCCTGATCAAGGGCACATACCTCAGTTGCAGGCTCCATCCCCAGCCCCAATTGGCATGCAGGAGGCAACCAATCGACGTGTCTCTCTCACATCAACGTCTGTCTCTCCCCCCACCCTTCTCCCTTCCACTCTCTCAACAACAACAAAAATCAACGGGGAAAAAATATCCTCGGATGAGAATTAAAAAAACACATCCCGCTTTCTACTGTGGTTAGCCATTGTCTTAGATTCACTCTGTGGCTGGCAGGCAGAGGGAGTGGGGCGCTCTCCATCCTCAGGCCTCCTCCATTTGCTTCTGTTCCACAGATGGCAACAGATCCTGAACTCTACTCTCCTTTTTAACTGAAGCAACTAAGATGACCTGTCTTTAATTACAGTTACTCCTTCCCCTGGGGAATTTTCCACAACCCACAAATATCCATGGAGTCTAAGGCTGTTCTAACTGGTTCCTAACGAGCTTCAATAGCTGCCTAAAGGCTAGTTCAAATTTGCCCTCCAAGACTGCCTTTTAAGGCAGGAATACTCTCAGCAATCCCTTGTCATGTGGCTACCTACATATGTAGGGAAACAACTACATACAAGGAAATTTTACACTATCACTGCAAAGATAATGGAGCTTAATAATATGTCTTAATAATGATTATGTCTATATAGATATATCTCGATATATCTATATATATATATGTAGTATTAACATTCTCAAAACGTGCCGGTAAGGCTTATTCCAAAGATGCGTTCTTACTACAACTGTGTCAGTATCAAATCGTTTTCCCACTGACTTGCACTGTAAGTTTTAAAGATGCATTCCACAGAAAAGCTATCTTATTCGGAAGAGCACCAGCTCCTTCAGATGTAGTACACTGAAGCACTGTACAGACTTCACATGGCAAGGGTCTTCTCTATTCGTGGTAGAGCTATTTTTCTGTTTAATTCATCATATATACTAAACCGCAAACTCTCACACTCCAATTTTTACCTCACCTGAAGTACTCAGCAGTACAAAATTTAATTAAGTGCTCAATAAGGTACTAAGTATGCTACATAGCCCCTAACACCCTTCTAAGAAAAAGGGAAACAAAAAACATAGAGAACTGAGTGAGGTTCTCTATAAACCCTGGGTCAACATCACCACTCAGAATCTGGGTCTCCTGAAAACCTAGGCTGATAAACACTGCAGCCCATACAAGTAAAGCAATTCAAGGCGGAAGCCGTGGGTCCACCTATCTGCTCAGAGAACAGCAAAGAGGTACATTTTCAGGGAAAGTTACTCCCTCTTACTTTCTGCGCATGGTTTCAATAGCCAGCTCTAAGAACATGAACACCTAATTATCTGTACAGAGAAAGGAGGGCACAGAGGCTGTAAAACAAACAGCTGGATTACTGGTTTACAAGAGAATGGGAGCCAGATACTTCTAAGAGTGAATCCACACCTGCAACTTAAATGGTGAAACACTATGAGCTCACTTGTATCAACAGTCATGTGCCTTACTTTAAAAAGGAGGACATTTCACTTATCGAAGTGACAAAGACTGAAAAATACAGTAATTCCCAATGTCATGTAGGGTACAGAGAAATGAGAGACCAATTTGGTGATATAATTCGAAGACTTAAAATGGTACAAACCTTTTGATTTAGCAATTCTACTTCTGGCAATTTATCATAAGGAAATAATCCTGGATTGTACAAAG